AAACGACACCCCTCACGAGGATTCTGGCCCCGACGGGGGGAGGGAGAAAAGTGCTCCCCTCTTCTTTGAAGCAAAAATCATTGATTTTACCACGGTTTTGGCCCCATTTTGGCCTTCTGAGGGGGCAGCGCTAATTAAAGCTCCCCTCTTCTTTCAAGCCAAAATCATTGATTTTACTAAGGTTTTGGCCCCATTTTGGCCTTCTGAGGGGGCAGCGCTAATTAAAGCTCCCCTCTTCTTTGATCGATTTCCTCCAAGATGGCCCCAAGAAGCGCCCAGGAGGCACCAAGAGGCCCCAAGATGGCCCCAAGAGGCCCCCAGGAGGCCCCCAAGAGGATCCCAAACGGCCCAAAGAGGCCCCCCCGAGGCACCCAAGACGCCGAAAAGCCCATCAGGACGACCCTCTACTCGCCTGGGCGTCGTTTCTGGACGGGCAGGAGGAGGGGCCCGAACGACTCACACCAGGACGAGGGGCCCGAACAACTCACACCACGAGAAGCCCGAACGACTCACACCAGGACGAAGAGCCCGAACGACTCACACCACGAAGAGCCCGAACGACTCACACCAGGAAGAAGGGCCCGAACGACTCACACCAGGACGAGAAACCCCAAACGACTCAAACCACGAAGCGCTTTCTCTCCCTCCTCCTCCGCCTCGTCCTTCAAGGAGCCTTTCTCTCCCTCCTCCTCCGCCTCGTCCTTCTCCCGCTCCCCCCACAAGGAGGATGTACAAGGAGGCGGGAGGAAGGAGGCACAGGGGAGATATGCGGGGGCAGGCGGAAACACGCCTGAAAAACACGACTGTCGGCATGCTTCGCAAGAGTTGCTGTTGTGAGATGGGCTGGTGGGGATACGCGAAGCGTAAAGAATTTAGCTGAGCTTAGCTTAACCTAGCCTAGCCTAGCTTAGCTTAGCTTAGCTTAGCGGTGTAGACCGGATACGGAGCATTCTCAAGCACACCCGGTGAGCGAATGCGAAAAGATGCGTGTGTGTGTATGTCTGCGCGCAGGCAAAACAAACACAACATCAAGCGGAAGCAAAAACAAAAGCAAAGCAAAAGCAACAACAAAAGCAAAAGCAAAGACAAGGCAATGCAAAGCAAAAGCAAGACCAATGCGAAAGTGTAGATGTAGATGTAGATGTAGGTGTAGGCGTAGATGTGGATGTAGGTGTAGATGTAGATGTAGATGTAGATGTAGGTGTAGATGTAGGTGTAGATGTAGATGTAGATGTGAGTCTCGCTGTTGATGTTGATGTAGATGTAGATGTAGATGCAGGTGTAGATGTTAATGTAGCTGTCTGTGCAGATGTAGATGTTGCTTTCCTAGATGCTCCAACTCCTAGGCAGGGTCGCACTGGGATAATCTTAAAGGGGCCGGGCAGTGCACACCGCCCCGGGCGGTTCCCCCAGTCTCCGCCCCGCGGTTCCCCCAGTTACGTCCCCTTAGCTTAGCGTTGCTTATCTCATCTTAGCTTAGCTTATCTCATCTTAGCTTAGCTTAGCTTCATCTTAGCTCAGGCTTATCTTAGCTTAGCTTACCTACATCTTAGCTTCGTTGAGTTTCAGCATAGCAGAGCACAGCACAGCATAGTATAGCGTAGCATAGCATAGCGCAGCACAGCATATCATAGCATAGCATAGCGCGGCATAGCATAGCATAGCATAGCATAGCGCAGCACAGCACAACACAGCATAGCACAGCGCAGCATAGCATAGCATAGCATAGCAGAGCAGAGCATAGCATAACATAGCAGCAAAGCAAAGGCAAAGCAACAGCAGCGACAGCAAAGCAAAGCACAAGCAACGCAAAGCAAAGCAAAGTAACAGCAACAACAAAGCAAAGGAAAGGCAAAGCAATGTGCGACAGATGCCGAGCTAGCCTCGATGGCGGGTAACTAGCATGGGTGTAATTCCCTACCTAGGCTCTGCCTAGGGGGTTAGCTTAGCTTAGCTTACCATAGCGCAGCGCTGCATTATCATAGCATAGCATAGCATAACATAACATAGCCAAGCATAGCATAGCATAACATATCATAGCATCACATAGCATAGCGCAGCATGGCATAGCATAGCATAGCATAGCATAGCACAGCATAGCATAGCATAGCCTAGCGCAGCTTAGCATAGCATAGCATAGCATAGCTTAGCAGAGCACAGCGCAGCATAGCATATCAGAGCAGGGCAGAACATAGCATAGCATAGCATAGCGCAGCATAGCATAGCATAGCGCAGCATAGCAAGGCATGGCATGGCATGGCATGGCATGGCATAGCATAGCATAGCATAGCAACTAATGCTGCTTTCCTAGGGGCTCCAACTTCTAGGTAGGGTCGCACTGGGGTAATTTCTAAACAACAGCTGTTGTTGATCCCGCCTGCCCAGTGCCCACTGTTGCCCCCCAGTTTTTCACAACAACGGCTCCCGCCTGATGCTTCCCCATCCCGCGCGGGACTTCCTCGCAACGCATGCAGAAATCGCGCTCTCGCGTGGCACCTCACCACCACTTCTTGCAGCGCCGTGCCTTCGACACTCCGGAATTCCAGCGCTGGACTTCCTCGCGATTTGCTCGGGATGCGTGCTGTCGCTCGAACCGTCCTAGCAATTCGTGTTGGATTGACGCTGCAGCGGCCCGCCCGTTCGACCCGGCCGCGTGGGCCCGCTGGCCCGACCCGCGCCTCGGGGCTCGCCCGCCCGACCCGCCCGTGCCTGGTTCTGCCGCTCGCACTCCTGCGCCTAGCCCCCGACTGCAAATCTCCCTCGTGCTCCATCGTCCTTCTCCCTCCCGCGGGTCTCTCCCCCCCCTCCTCCCCTCCCCTCCCCTCCCTCTCCTCCCCCTCCCCTTCCCTCCTCCCTCCCCTCCCCTCCCCTCCCCTCTCCTCCCCCCCCTCCCCTCCCTCCCGCAGGTCTCCTCCCTCGTCCCTCTTCCCTCCCCTCCCCTCCCTCCCCTCCCGACTGCAAATATCTCTCGTGTTCTATCATCCTTCTCCCTCCCGCATGTCTCCTCCCTCCTCCCTCCCCTCCCCTGTGTTACAGGCTGCGCCAAAGGGGCGGCACGCTCGAAGACGAAGGGGGCGGGTATCGAGGGTTTGGGATGTACATGCTGAGTGGCACGCGAGCATCTGAGAGCGAGCTGTCTTAAAATTGGTGTGGTTCGTGTTGTTGGTGTTGTTGTCGTTAGTATTGTCATTGTCGTTGTCGTTGTCATTGTCGTTGTTGTTGTTGCTGTTGTTATTGCTGCTGGTGTTGTTGATGTTGTTGTTGCTGTTGTTGTTGCTGTTGTTCTCTCACTAATGTAGAATAATTATTGTTGAGCCCATCCTCTGGTAGCATATGTGTTTCTTCAATTAAAGTGCCCCTCCCGGGGCTCGCTCGCACCCGGTTTTATATGAGGGAAAGTCGTCCTCCTCAAACTGCGCACTTCGCCCCCGGATTTCAACAACAACGGTTCCCGCCTGATACTTCCTTGCAGTTTACTGAGGAAACGCGCTCTCGCTAGGGACTTCCTAGCAATGTATACATGAATCGCGCTCTCGTCTGTGACTTCCTCAAATTTATTCAGGCGCAACGCCTCGCCATTCAGGAATCGCGCTCTCTCCTGGGACGTCTTCACTAATAACTTAGGAATAGCGCTTTCGCCCGAGACTTCCTGGCGAATCATGTAGGACTCACGCATTCGCGTAACATTCATGTTTTTCAATTTAAGTGCCCCTCGTTCGCTGTGTTTTTCAAATCTTCCTGCCCAACCTGCGCCCCTGGCCCCTGGATTACAACAACAACGGCTCCCGCCAGATATTTCCGTACAATGTATTCCCAAATCGCGCTCTCGCGAGGGACTTCCTCATACTTTTCTGCAGGAATCACGCTTTCGCGTGGGACACCAGTTTATTCAGACGCCACGCCCTCGACACTCAGGAATCACGCTCTCGCTGAAAATGTTCTTCAAGATTTATTGGGGAATCGCGCTATCGCTCGAGACTTCCTCGCGACTCATGCAGGAGCAAGGATGCAAGGGTACCACTGGGAACGCTGCCCATGCCTACTATGCGGGTTGACTGGAGACATGCGCAGCTCGTGGGAGCTCTTGTGTGAAAAAACCTCAGGGCCCGTACTCGGGGACGCACTGACCTGGGTCAATGCAAATCCGGATCAGTCGTCCCTCGCAAGATCCTGTAAGATCCTGCAGGATCCTGCAGGATCCTGCACCCAAGCCCGGGTCAATGCACCCCGGGCTCTGCAGGATCCTGCAAGATCCGGCGCTCTGACTGACCCCCATTTGCGCTGACCCCCGCCTCTTGAGCCCCAATGCACCAAGGGCGAAGGCGTCCCCGGGCAACACACGGAGCTGTCAGAAACGGAGTGCGAGCTGGCCAGACCAAGGAGCGGCGGGCCCGTGGCGCTTCTCACGAGCTGCGGCACGGCTGGCTGCACGTCTGGCCGAGTTGGCCAGCTGTGAGGACGGGGGGCGAGGGCGTGGGAGGGAGGGACCCAGACATCCGACGTCTCGATTTTTTCGCGACGCGGGCCGCCGACCTCCTGACCACTTCCCTGGGAGCGGTTTTTCATCCCGAGTCGTTTGTTGACGGTCCCGAGGCCCGGCGAGGGCCCCGAGAGGCCGAAAACTATGAAAAACCTCCGTCTCGATTTTTTCGAGACGCCCGATGTCTGGGGATGGGCGGGATGGGGGGGAGGGGCGGAGGTGCAGGGACGGAGAATGGAGCGGGGGAGGGGGGGGTGGCGCAGAGGAGGACCCCTCCGAGGCAGGAGCTGGCGGGCCCTCGACCCTCGAGCCTCGATCCTCGAACCTTGGACCCTCGATCCTCGCGCCTCGATCCTGGGCCCTCGACCCTCGAGCCTCGACCCTCGAGCCTCGATCCTCGAACCTTGGACCCTCGATCCTCGAGCCTCGATCCTGGGCCCTCGACCCTCGACCCTCGAGCCTTCGACTCTCGATCCTCGACCCTCGAGCCTCGAGCCTCGAGGGCTGTCGCGCGAAAGGCCTGCGGCAGGCGGTCCGCGAGGCTCGGCGCAGCGCGCGACGCGCTCGGCGAGCTGCCCTCGAGGTCATCCGCGCGCTCCGCGATCCACCTCTGCAGGGTCTCGTCACGATGGTAAAGGGGGGAGAACTAGTCGGACCCAGGACAGAAGAACATCCCCCAAGAACATGAGACCCTCCGCCGGCCCAGCTGAAGAGCATTCGAAGGTACCCTCCCCCGGGATGCACAAGAACATCCAATAAACACGAAGAACATCAGGGTACCCTCTCCGATGGCGAGGGGAGGAGAACTGCACGCAATCGAGCGGCTCGAGCCTCACAGGACGAAAAAGGTACCCATACTGCCACCCTTTCCTCGCATTCGCCTTTTGCAGCCTCACGGGAGTCCCTCGCCGCCGCGGCTGGAATCGCCTCGAGATTCTGGTGCGAACGCACCCCAGCAGAGTCCCCGGGAGGCAGGAAACGCCAGCCACACGCCGACACCTGCACCGATCCTGGCCAGGCCTCTTCCGGGCCCAGCATCGGGGTGCACGCCACCCCCGGAAGGTGTGCACGCCCCCCCCCCCCCCTTGCTCGGCCGGGGAGGCATGCGCGCCTCCCCCTGGGACCAGGCTGGGCCTGCCCGGGGGCAGCGGTCGCCCGGGACCCGGGGCTCGACGTGCGGAGGCTTCTGGGCAGAGACATCCGGACATCCTCTCGCGGGCCTCCCAGCTGGGGTCGGAGCAGACGGGGCCCGAGGACCGCCTCGCATCGCCCATCGATGCACCGGCGACGTCGGTGACGCGTCGGCGCCGTCGGTGTGGAGAAAATCGGGCTCCACGTCGAGCCGCATCGCCGATGCATCGGCGATGCGGCGGCATCCTCCGACCGCATCTACTCCGACCCCATCGGGGAGGCCTAGAGCCTCTTGCGGGCCTCTTGGGGTCCGCCGCCGCGGGAAGCCAGGCGAGAAGGCGGGGCCGCTCATCATGGGCCGCCGCCGCCCGCAGGGCTCTCGGGCGCACTGGTGTTTCCTGTCCTGGCGTGCTCCTCCAGCTCCAGCTCTCTAGGGCCCCAGACAATCGAAGACTGATCCGGGACATCAACCCAGAACAATGTTCATCTCTTGGAGGTGCGTCTTGTACTTCCGCCACCTTCCGTCGCCCTTACGCTGGCTTCCGCTGGCGGAGGCGGCCTCGTTTTACTTCCGCCGACCTGCCGCCGCCCTTCCGCCGCCCTTCCGCCGCCTCCCGCCGAGGAAGAGATGACAACTCCTTCGATCCGCGAAGGCGACGCCCTTTTCTGGAAATCCGCCGATCCCGCGTGAGTTTCAGAAGACTAAGATATCGCTCTGCTTCAGCATGAGCTTTAGCTCTGCTTGGGAGGGGGGGAGGGGGGGGGGACGAAATGAACTGACGAATTCAGTGCTCGGCACCTCCCCCCCCTGCCAGCCCAC